TGCGCCACCAGGGAGGGCTGAAAATTTTACTTATTTTTAAAGATTTGTTTATGCACACAACTGGGGTACAGACCAGAGGTGCAGGGGGGTGAGAGGAGTCACCCAAGAGAGAGGGGAGCAGAACAGGTGGATTGACTGACAAACAGCTGAGGGGAGCAGCGGGGAGACAGGAGAGGTCTGCTGTACCCTGTGGGTTACTCCATGGCAGGGCAGGGCGTTGAATTGATGCTGATGCTGCAGTGGCTGCAGACAGCTTCCTAGTCCTGAGACTTAACCCCTTGCATCCCCAGGAAACTCAGGACAAAATTTTAGATGAATATTCTTTACTTCCTAAGTTTTTTAGTAGTGATGATAAAATCACAATTTGAAACCTACAGGGTATACCAAATACTAGTATTAGAATGATTTTTATAAATACATGGAAATTAAAGGACAAAAAAAAATTAGCTCCTTTTGTTCTACCCTAGGGCCCAAGGGTGGTAATCCACCACCAGCATGTGATGTCAGAAGGCAGTGAGGGCAGGGCAGAGGGCGTGCACTGAGAGTGGGTGAAGTGGCACTTCTTGGGGCAGCCAGTGGCCGACTCCACTCTCATGCGGCACCGAGGGCTGCCTGACCCAGCCACCAGCCATTTCCCCATGGCGCTAAGAACCCCCCTTTCCTGCATCCAGCACAGGTCACTAGTCTTGCAAGTGGCAGCACCTATGGCACCTTATGGGATTCTGAGCCATGCCCAAGGCTCCCCGGTGCCCCTGCTGAACCACAGGGCCCTTCACCGCCACCCCAGGCTGAGCGGCAGGGTCAGGTGCTTTGCCCTTTTCTGGGGTTGCCAAGGTGGGCCTTGGGTGGATGTGACTGCAGACTGACCACAAACCCTCCGCGGGCCACGCAGAGGCCGCCCCTTTATCCAGCTGACTAACAGAGCCCCAGGCCCACTCGGCCCCCACCAGCAGGGCACCTTGGCAGGGTGGTACCCAGCAGCAGACTCTGGGGACGATGACGGCCCGCCAGGCCCTGGCTTGCCGTGTGACTCTGGGTACGCTGTTGGCCCTCTGGACCTTCTCCCCATCTGCCAGCTGGGGTCTGAAGGGGCCTAACTGAATTCTCGAGTGGACAAAACAATCTAGTGTACATTATGGACCTTGGTATTGAGTGTGGACCTGGCCTTGGGTATCAGCTGGTGCTAAGGTGTAGACTCTCAGGCCCCGGCCAGCACCTGCAATTAGCCAGACCTGAGCAGGGCGGCGTGACTGTGTGAAGTCTGCTTTTAAAGGGTCCCCAAGACACCCCATCCTACCCACCTACTAGGTCTGCCAGGGAGAAACCCCCAGAGCAAAAAGGTACCAGGACTGCCCACGTCACTTTATCCTTTCCTACTTTATTACTTCAAATTAACAACCACAATAAAGCTCAAAAAAGTCCAATATTTACACAGGAAAAAAGTACAAAATTCCCCCCAAAGTTCTTCAGTATTTTTTTTTCAGTTTTTTTAAATTACAAAGTAATAAAAAGCTTTGCTCTTTAATTAAAAAAAAAAAAGGAAAACAGAAAAAAGGGGAGACAGGGTAAATAAATTAGGAAATACACACACAGAGGAAACAAACAAAAGTAAAAGCAGGTGTTAACTAGGGGGTGGCACATGCAGTGCCCAGCCCCCCAGGCCCCACCTCCGAGAGGCGGGGCCCGGGGACACCCCGGGGACATCAGGACCAAGGAGTTAAGTGTGACCCAGGAGCCTGTACGGTCTGGAAGTAGTCTCCGAGGACGCAGCCTCAGGCCAGGAGACGGGGCCTGCCATGGGCGATGACAGTCTCAGGGTTGGTGGCGAGGGCCCTGAGCCCTCTAGAGGAACTTGGGGGTCCTTCTGGCCTGGTCCTTGTTAGGGGGTGACAACAAGAAACAGCCTGGCCGGCAGGGCGGACACCTGCTGTCCCACGAGCTACAGGTCAGACACACGCACACGAGGCACCTCAGCACCCGCCAGCTCACCACACACTCCAGGTCCCTGCTGAGAAGCGAAGGGCCCCAAACACTCGGGGAGACCGGCCACTGTCCTCTGAGGAAGTGGGGCGGGGGCTCAGAACCAGGCAGGGCCCGCCTGGGCCCCCCACACCGCCCGGCGCCAGGCTCCGGCCGCCTTCTCGGCTGCAAGGCTGGCGCTAGGCGGCCCAGCGGCCCAGTGTCCTGCCAGAGCCCGGCAGCCTGATGGTCCTGGCCACGGGAAGCAAAGGGCCGGAGTCCTCCATGCGGTGGGCACCCCATCTTCTCGCCGTTGGCCAAAAAACTTCAACGAAACAAAATCCATTGTGGGTCTTGTGCTGGGTTTTCTTTCCTTTTCGTTTTCTTGAGTGGTTCCCCCCATCGTTGTGTGTTTTTGTTTTTTAAAGAAAATACAGTGAAGACACTAAAAAGAAGACAGAAGACAGATTGAGGGTCTGCCTGGTCACCCACCCACCAGACCCCTGCAGCTGGGTGTCCCTCACCCGGGGCCTACAGGAGACGCTCACTTGCCCCAGAACAGTCTCTCCTGCCTCACCCCAGCCACACACCTGCCCCGCCCCGGCACCCACCCGGGGCTCCTGGGTCTGAGGCGGGACGAAGCCAAGCCCCCACTTTAGGTCCGCTGTGCGTGTGGATGAATTTCTGCAAAGCCAATCACATCAGTTGTCCTGGAGTGAGGCCTGGCTGCCCCTGAAACTCAACTGCTGCCTGCCACTGCGCAGACCCCCGGACTGTGGGCCCGAAGCCCGGCAACTCCCCTTCCAGGCCCCAGAGTGGACAGCTGCTACGTGCATGTCGGGGCCTCAAATCAGCTGTGAGGGCGACTGCAGATAAATGCCGGCCGGCCTGTTCCCAGCACCCTGAGAGGTGGGGCTGAAACAGGGCTGAGGCCCGGTGGTGAGGGTGCGGGCACTAGCCCAGTCCAAGACTACAGTAAGGCAATGTGGGTGGGGGCCCCCAGGGCAGGCCAGCTCAGAGCCTGAGACAAGCAGGTTCTGAGGCCTCAAAGCCCCTCAAGGTCTTCCCACTGCAGCGGAGTCCTCCCCTGGGGCCCTGGGGGCTCCCAGCCCTGGCTGGGCTGGTCCACAGCAGACAGCGACTCACCTAAGCAATACTGGTTCGACGGTGGGTCCTCCTCACTTCCCGAGGTGGTCAAATGGCACGCTTGTCTTCGGGGAGTGGGGGAAGGTGTGTGAGCAACGCCATCTGGCCAGTTTCCCCAAGGGAGGAGCCCACCCCACCCCCAAGGCCCTGCAGCCCAGGGAAGACCCTGTCCCCAGAGGCCAAACAGCTGCCCCAGGCTACATGAGTCCAGCTGTGGCCTGTCCTGAGAGGAGAGGAGGTCTCTCACCTGCCACAGACGCCCCCTTCCTAGCAGCCAGACGTGGCACCTAAGTGGGGTTGCCAGACAGGATCCACCCACCCCTCAATCCTGGACTGACAGGGACCCTTCAGGGGTACCCTGATGGGCAAGGACTGAGCCCTCCTGGGTGAGCTCCCTGCTGCTCACCCAGAAGGACCCTGGCAACAAAGGCCAGAGCTGCTTGCTGGGCCGACTCAAGCTAAGAGGGAAAGCAAGGTGGCCAGACCTTGCTCCGCAGTTCTCAATGAGAGCCAGTGGGGCGAGGAGCGGTACCCCCGCCTGGGCGTCTCACCTGTGAGGCTGAGATCCGGGAGACCTCTTGCCGCCCAGTGAGGTCGGAGGACGAGACGTTGGCGGGTGCGCCCCTGTGCAGCCTCATGCTCACCTTCCTCTCTCTGTCGACCCGTGAGATCGCTCTGGGAGAAGTATTGCCTGGAGGGCGAGGCGGGGGAAGCCACCCTCAGCGTCAGGGCCGGGCTGTGCACTGGGGCCCCGGCACCTGGCCCTTGCGCTCTGCTCACCAGCTTGCTGGATGCGGGAGGCTGGGATGGAGGCCACGGGTTCGGCGGCACTGCGGAGCCGGTTGGCAGTGGCCCCCGTGGGAGGGCCAGGGGGCAGGGCCCGGGTGGCAGACCCCCGCAGCTGCCCCATCCTCTCCTCGCGCTCGTGTTCTCGCCTCTCCCGGTCCACGTCCTCGGGGTTCCGGGCCGCACCCTGCGGAGACATGAGTGCTGGTCAGTCCAGGGGGCGGGGACTCCAGGATCTGTCCCTCTTGCAGGACTGAGCAGGAGCAGGGAGGCCAGGTAGGCATCTTGGGAAAGTGGAACCTCAGAAGCCCTCTGGTCCAATCTTCCCACAAAGCCGGGAGCCCGAGAGGTCTGGAAATGACCCATGACCACACAGCACAGAAAGGTCTGTAAGGCTAGAAATGATCCATGTCACACAGCAGAGGCCTGGAAATGACCCATGACCACACAGCAGAGAGGCCTGGAAATGACCCATGACCACACAGCAGAGAGGCCTGGAAATGACCCATGACCACACAGCAGAGAGGCCTGGAAATGACCCATGACCACACAGCAGAGAGGCCTGGAAATGACCCATGACCACACAGCAAAGAAACGGCCACACAGTCACCCGGAAGGCGTCACTCTGCCCTGGTCTCCTGGGATGGAGTCCAAGCCTGGAAGGGCCCCAGAGGACCAGGGCCCTCTCGTCATCTCTGGACCCTCTCAACCTGGCTCCGCCAGGTCCAAAGAGCCCTTGGTTCCTGCTGGTGCCCAAACAGAGCAGGGCAGCACTCAGAGGCCAGCAGAGGAGGTAGGAAGGCCAGCTGATGGGCCACCAGGGCCAGGTTCCAAAGGGTCATTCTCCCCCATCCCTGACAACAGCTGCTGGAAAGCACTGTGGGGACTCTACCAGGCGGCCCGGGGACCCTGCCTCAGGGTAAGAGCTCAGGGAGAGCCAGATGCCCACGGAAGAAAGGCCCAGCAGACAGGCTGGAGCAAAAGGGATGCGAGTCCTGCCCTCAGCCACTGCCAACCCCAGTGCAGGCGGGAAGGAAAGGCGCCCAGAGAGAGGAGCATGTGGGAGCAGTGCCGGGCCGTGTTACCTAGTTGGTCCTGGGGTCGTCCACAGGGAAGGGCGGGGGGCTGGCATGAGGGGGGCCGCATCTGTGGAGGAGAGAGCTGCGGGCTGAGTTGTGTCCACTCATGGGCTACAGGTACAGGCTCCTACAACCCTGGGTCTCTCCCAGGGAACAGGCCTAAAAGGCTGTTGTCCTCGGGGAAAGGAAGGGCCCAGAATGGCCCCCAAATCCTAGTGAGGAACCAAGGCCCAGGGAGACGTCAGGGCCTGTCTGGGCTCACACATCTCAGCGCAGAGCATGCTCTTAGGGAGGCTATGCCGCCCAGTTCTGCTTCCTGCTCGCCCAGAGAACTTAGCAGAACATTCGGGATCACACCTTAGTCCCCGCTCTCAAGGCAGGCTTGGGTGCACCACGGCCCCACCTCCCGACCTCCAGTCCTCACCCAGGGCTTGCCCACTGGCAGCCCCAGGCTGGCCGACCACCAGCAGCCAGAGCCTGGGCATAACCTGAGCGCCGAGGCCCAACCCCACGCACGCCTTGGGCAGACCACGCCAGCCCGCCAGGCAGGGGAGAAGCCGCGCCTTGCGTGGGGACACCGAGGCTTGCTGGAGCCCAGCGGTTCCCTCAGGAGCACAGCCCTGGAGCTGGTGGCTGAGCAGGGGTCTGGAACGGTCCTTTGGACCCCACAGGCTCAGGCCAACACCAGGGGAGAGGTAAGCACCGTCCCCATTGCATCTGACCCAAGTGACGCCTGGAGAGACACACGCCAGGGAGGTTTCTTGGCTTTATTTGCACACAAGAAAACAAAGCCCACATCAAAGTCACACAAGCGTCCACCTGTGTCGCAGGGGCCGCCCCGGCTGCTGTTCCCTCCTGGCCAGCTGGCTGGGACACGGCGGCTGTGTGCCGACAGCGTGTCTCCAGCTCCGGTGTCTGGGGTGCGGGCCTAGCCGCGAACGGCCTGGGCGGCCACTCTTGAGGAGGGACGTTTTCAGTTGAGGCACCAGGGTGGTTTCCAGTCTGGAGGTGGGTGCAGGCGAAGGCCCCCGCAGGTGGGTGGGGTGGGCGGGGCCTGGTCTTGGGAAGAACCGGCGAGAAGATCCAGCGGTGCGCCCGCAGATGCCCCGCCAGGCAGCTGGAGGGGGCCTGGCCACGCCGCTCAGGGCCACGGTGCCACCTGTCCGGGGCAGTGGCGCTCACGTTGAGGTTGGTACAGGGTTAGGTGTTGGCATCTCTCCAGCGTGACTCCAGGGCCTGCCCATGAAGGACCCAGGAAGGGGTCACTGCCAACACAGTGGGGAGGGCCTCTGCTCTGGCTGGGGACGGGATCTTGGTGGGACAGTCCCACGAGCGGTCACGGGGAGCCGTCTCCAGCAGCACCATCCTGCAGAACTTTCCGTGACGATGGAAATACTCGCACCTGACTTGCCGGATGTGGTGTGCAGTGCTCAGCCCCCAGTGGTCGCCGAGAACTTGGAAAGTGGCGAATGTGCCAATGGAACTACGTATCTCGCTTTGATTGATTTAATTCTATGAAAAATCAGCCGCAGGTAGCCAGAGGCCGCCACAGTGGATGCACAGGCCCCAACGATGCAAAACCATCCTTGCAGCGGAGCTGAACCCATCTCGGGCAGGGACGAGCTTCTACAGACGAGCCAGTGCCAGAAGTCATGACCCATGTGCCCTGCAGGCCTGGGACCTCGGCGGCCACCCCAGCCAGGTCTGAGGTAAAAGGTGCCCCCCTGTCCATCTCCCACCCACGCCCTGGTGTCCCTTGGTCCGTGGAACCCTGTTCTCTGCCTGCCTTCCATCCCTCTCCCTGGAGGAGGACCGGGCTGCTGTAAGACCCAGAGAGGTGGGTGGGGTGCAAGGCCAACAGGACCCCAGTGTCCAGAGAGCAGGCCTTGAAAGGGAGGTTAACAGGAGGAAGCGCGGGGCAGTGTTCAACAAGTCCAGGGTCAACGAAGAGGCTGCCACCTGGGCCCAGTGGGGTGCAGGGCAGCAACACCCACCCTCCCGCAGGTGCTGCTCCTCGGCAGTTGCACTTTATCCTGGAGAATCCCGGGGGGCTCTTCTCCGCCACACCCGCCTCTGTACCCCACACCACGCCAGGGACGCCTCCTCCAGCCTGGCCCTGATGGCTCAGGTGCACGTGGTGACATCAGAACTGGGGCCCTGGAGTCCAGACCACAGGCCAGTAGTTCTGGGGGGGCAACTCGTCCACCTCCTCCATGGGCCTATCTGGAGGGCCCTGGGTGCCCAAGGGCAACGGGCACCTGGAAGGGACAGAAAGAGCACAGCAGAGCTCAGCCGCTATGCTCGCCTGGCCACGTAACGAAGCTCGCAAAGGCCAGGCCTCGGAGGGTCCTTACCAGTATGAGGATGGGTACGTGGTCCCGGCACAGGGGCAGGGGCGGGGGCAGGGCAGTGCCAGAGCTTCGCTGTCACGGGGCTGAGCCTGGCTCGAAGAAGCCCCCTTTCCAGAAGAGACGTGAAACAAGACATACGATTTCACAGATTCCGGAGCTCCAGGCACAGACGACGACGACGGCTGCTTCGCCCCACCCCACCCCCACAGCCCTTAAAAGAAAGAGGCAGAACAGCTGCCCAGCAAGACCCAGGGACCCACCACCAAAAAGAAAGGAACCACAACGGACGGGTCCAGGCTGCCCAGAGGGCCCACCGCGAGGGCAGTGGCCTGGGACGTACAGAACAGCAAGAGCAGAATGGTGTAGGCCATGATCAAGGCCGCGGGGGAGCCCACCAGCGCCAGCCACGCCCGGCCACGGGCACCGAGGAGAGACTCCGGGCCCAGCCAGGTCCTCCTGGTGCTGGGGGGAGGCAGCGCCCTGCCTGGGCCCAGGCTGTCAGCACTGATGATGATGGAGCAGGGGGGCCACGGAGGCTCTGGGACCCCTGTGAGGTCGCTTGCGCCGCCCAGCTCACAGCATCCGTTTTCAGGAAGCCCCGCCCACCATAGAGCCACCTTGGCCCGATGAGTCAGGGCCTCCCCAAGCCAGCCCCCCATGCCCGCCTCGGCCTCCAGGTGACTCACGAATTTGAGCATGTTCCAGTCGAACACGTAGTCGTAGGAGAAGCCCTGGCGGTGGAAGAGGTTGCGGAAGAGCTGGCGCAGGTAGGAGTAGTCAGGCTTGTCGTCAAAGCGCAGGGAACGGCAGAAGTTGAGGTATGTGGAGAACTCAGCTGGCAGGCAGCGGGACAGGAGAGACGCGTAAGACGCCCGCTCCCTGCTCCCAGGGCCCCGGCAGCCTGCTGTCCTACCAGCCCAGAGGGCTCCAATCTGGAGCAGACCGGCCAGAGAGAGGAGAGACCCACAGCCTCATGGTGCCAAACCGGCAGCCCGGGAGCAGAGGCTCTGCGCAGGCGGCGAGGGCAAGGGAAGACCGTGGACAGCCGCAGCGCCCAGCCCCAGGGCCCCAGTTCAGTCTTCTCCAGCTCTGCCAAGGATCTCGGGGTGATAGAGATGACAGGGCAATGGCTGTCAGCACTCCAAGGGCAGCTGGGAGCACACAGGAACTCCCAACATAACCTGAGTTCCTCCTTCAAAAAGAAGGGGTGGAGAGGCCCCGGGACAGAAAACACGGCATCGGTCTGTTTCAGCTCCTGGCACAGCGCCTGAGACGCCAACGCTCCCTACATGATAGCACCTCTTGCTCTGACAGCTGGTCTCTCGCCACGGCCCTGACACCAGGCCCTAAGCCTGGCCACTTCCTCAGCGACGGGAGCACAAGGCACTTGTGTGTGGCCTCCTGGAGGGGCAGCCATCAGAAGGCCAAGCCGTAATAGCAGCTGGAAGTTTTCAGCACCTACCCCCCAACTCCTCAGGGGGCAAGGATGGAGGGAGCAATCAAGCACACCTGCGAGATGAAGCCTGTGCAAAGCCCAACCGCCGGCTCAGACAGGCTCCAGGTGAGGGGGCGCATCCACGCCCGCGCCTCCCAGATCTCACCCTCTGGACTGAACTGGGAGGCGGGAGGGGACGCTGCCGTGAGGCATCCTGGCGAGTAACCCAAGGGAAGGTTTCGGGGAACGTTTCAGGACCAGCGGTCAAGAAGCAGAGGCAGCAGTTGCCTTTGCGCCTGGCGTCTGAAGGGGTGAGCACAGTGCTGGGGGACGGCCCTTAGCCCAGGGCCGTGGTGCCATCGCCACAAGGCAGTGTCAGAACACGCTGGGTCGCAGGACACCCAGCGGATGCGGCAGGAGCCACGCGGCGTGGGGACAAGCTCTGGCACTGACAGGGCATCAGGGACGACGTGTCCCGTGTGCATGGAGGAGGGTGCAGTTCTGCCAATACTCAGCCCCGAGAGGGGGGGCAGTGTGGGTTAGGGCAGCCAGGGCCAGTGGTGAGCCGCCTGGCGCAGGGCAGCGTGCGCCCAGCCTCTACCCCACAAAGCTGCAGACAGGGCCTGGCTCCCGCTTGCCCACCCCGGCCACGCACAGGGGCAGCCCGCCCCGGCCACTCACAGGGGTAGCCTTTGCAGAGGACCTCGATGGGTGTCGACATTTTCTTCTCGCTGATCCGCTCGTACTTCTGGCGCTTGGTGGCAGCCTTGAGGCCCTGCCAGGGCAGGGAGCCCAGGTTGAAGTACATGAGCACGTAGCCCAGGCTCTCCAGGTCATCGCGACGGCTTTGCTCTGCAGTTAGGGACAAGGTGAGGGCCAGGTCCGTGAGGGTTCCCGGCTGCTGGGGGAAAGAACCCTCCTCGCCTCCTCCAGGACACCTCTTGGAAGTGAGGGGAACCACCCACTCCGTTAACCCAGTGCTGGGGAACCCTGTGTTTTCTTCCTGTAGCTGCTACACAGACCCCCTGCAGACCCTCCTACAGACAAGGGACTTGGGGGCGAGCTTCTCAGTTCTGTCGAAGCCTAGTTTTTCTAGCTTAGGCACTTACAATTATTCAGCGATGAGGCAGTCGGCATCCCAGTGCCCCCCTGGCCGGCCCAATACACCAGCCGCAGCCAGACCTGGGGTCAACTCTGGCTAGGACGTTCCACAAGCAGAACACCCTTAAGAAGGTTCCGCGGCACCTGCAGCTCCCGCCCTCGCCCACTCTACTGGCTGCCTCGGGGCGTCAGGCTTTGGGAGGCACTGGGCCCCCTGCTTCTCTTACAGAGGGGAAGATGCAACTTGAAGTGAGTTAGGGGGATAAATCCAGCTGCAGAAAGGCAGGGTGCTGCCCAGCCCAGTGGGTCTGCTTTGCTCCCAGGTCTCCCTCGCTCACCAATGCCCAGATGGGTGTTGATGGAGGCGTAGCGGGCAGTGCCAGTCAAATTCTTGTTTTCCCGGTAGGGGATGTGCTGGTGGGTGCGGGCGTCCCGGTACTTCTTGGCCAGGCCGAAGTCGATGATGTAGACCAGGTTGCCCTTCTTCCCCAGGCCCATGAGGAAGTTGTCGGGCTTGACGTCCCGGTGGATGAAGTTCTTCGAGTGGATGTACTCGATGCGGCTGATCTGGAGGGGTGGGACACCAAGTCACTCGGCACGTCCTCCACGGCAGGCGTGCACCCAAGCGCACACGCGCTCAGCCGTGTCCTGGGTGGGGGACAAAATCTGTCTGCGACTGTGGAAGATGATGTCATGGGGTGCGTCAGGGAAGGCTTCCTGGAGACACGAGACAGGCGCTCTGAAGAGGGAGTTCGCCAAGTTGTGAGACGGGAAGAGTAAGGGAGAAGCGCGGATGGCACAGCCCACACAGCCTTGGCCCTGGCTCTGCACCCCTAGGGCTAGGTGAGCCGGGCTCCGAGAGGTGTTTCTGCAGGTGCTTGGGCAGCCAGGCTGGGGGAGGGATGGAAGGGCCCACTGGGGAAGCCTACACTTGGCGAGAGATGAAGACCCAAAGATAGGCCTCGTCCCCACTTCCAACGGACACCAAGGTCAGGCAACAACGTCCTCTTCTTCCTTTAAACGACCTTTTGAAACCTTCACAGGCCGGGACTGACTGAACCCTGCGTAGCAGGTTCTCCACACGCCATGTCAGGCCCCAATCTGATGCTTTCCCAACTTGTCAATTTCTTCCCTTGGGTTTCTAAAGGACGGTAGGACCTAGGGATGGCTCCAGGACAGGCACCTGCTCGGGTCGGGCTCTGTGTGGGGTCCCACTGGACGTGAGGACACCCCAGCAAAAGGAAAACTCTCACCTGAAATGCCTAAAGTCAATGAGGCCTAAACTTACCTAGGGTACCACACTGAGAGAGAAGCCAGCCCTCCCCCGGGAGCCCCACTCAGTGGGTCTGGGGCAGGACCTGGGAATCTGCATTTTAAACACATTGTGGAGCCTGGTCCTAGACCAGGAGCCAGGGCTGGCCCCTGTGCGGGCTGGCCCCTGTGCAACCTGGCCCAACAAGCAAGCAGAGGCTGGGCAGGAAGCCAGAGACTCACCATCTGGTCGGCCAGGAGCAGCACCGTCTTGAGGCTGAATTTGCGGGAGCAGAAGTTGAAGAGGTCCTCGAGACTGGGCCCCAACAGCTCCATGACCATGACGTTATAGTCACCCTCAGCGCCACACCACTTGATGGATGGGATTCCCACTGCGGGCCAGGGCGGCAGCAGTCAGGCACACCCCTCCCAGACGAAGACCAGAGCCAGGCGCCAGCACATGTGGGCGCGCACACGCACCTGTGCAGGGCTCTCAGCCTCCCCGGGCACCCCACCAGGCCTCCTCCCGGCCCTCACCTCCTCCTTGCATCATCTTGTAGAACTTGCTCTCGATGTGAAGCTGGGGGTGCTTTGTTTTCACACACTCAAGTTTGATGGCAACTTCTTCCCCAGAGGCAATGTTGGCACCTGGGGAAGGGGGAGGACACGGGGATCAGAGTCACCCTCTGCCAGGCAGGCAGCCCCAGGCCCTTGGAGAGACTGGCACAGTGACAAGAAGGCCCAAGGCCATATCCAGGGAAGCGGAGGGGCAATGGGGGCGTGTGGCCAGTAAAGGCAGGAGGAGAGGAACGGCATCAGGTGCCAGGGGAGGCGGTGAGGGACCACAGACAGCTTGGAGGGCCGCGGGCCACAGGCCAGGCCAGCAAGAAGGCTGCCTGTGGGCAGGGCGATCCTGGAAAGCAGGGCCCGAAGACTGCGCCCAGCCGCCCGCGGAGGCCGTTGCAGTCCGGCCCTGCACGGCCCAGGCCCAGGCGACAACCACGTGGCCAGATCTGCAAACAGAGAGACCCAAAGTGCACCTTGCCTCAGTTTCCCCAGCTCTATTTACGGGTGGGGCAGGGGCAGGCTGAGTGATGAGTGTCTCCTTCTAGAACGTGGCTGCAGTGCAGTCACGAAGCAGGGAAAGCTTAGCACACAAACACTAAACAGAAGTGTAGAGGGGAACACAGCCACAGGACGGCTGAGGACGAGAGCGGCACCCCGCATCTGGGGAAAGGCAGGCCCGTGTGACGAATGTCCGTGAACCACCAGCTAGCCTCCTGAGAAGACCCACTGGGGTCTGCACACAAGGACAGACAGGATGGGCCTATCCACGTGGGGGACACTATTCTACTGTAAAAAGAAACGAAGAATTGATGTTAGTGTGTGACTGAGGAGGCACCTGGGGCCCCAAGCTACTGGAGAGTGCATACTCTAGAAGCGTCCTGCTACCTGCGCACACGAAGGCGAAGGAAGCAGACTCTTGATGTGAAGAGATTTCAGCAGAACTGGTGGGCATACAGAGAGGATTTCTCGGGTGGCACGGGGGCTGTCTCAGCTCTGTAAAGCCACCCACACCCACCGCAGCAGGAGTTCCATACTCCGCCAGGGAGGGACCCACAGGGCACAGCAGGCCCCTCCTGTCTCTCCGCTGTTCCTCTCAGCAGTGGACTTCAGTGGATCCGCCTGTTTTGCTCCCCACTCTGTCTGTGGGTGAAGCTTCTCACCCATGCACCTCAGGCCTGTACCCCAGTTCTTGCATGTACAAATAAAATTTTCAAAATTTCAAATAACAGTTTCCCAATAAAACTCCCCAACTTAGCCATCTTCTCATGGGCAAATGCACAGCCACACAGGCGTGGCCTGAGGTGGACAGCTGAGGCCTGAAAGCTTGCCACAGTCTAGGTACCTTCTGGCGGGGGACCACAAGAACAGGGCGAGGCAGGTCCCAGAGAGCGGAGACTGAACTGAGTGAGACTCATAATTCAAAATAGCCCTGGTCTCAGCCAAGGGCTGGGAGCAGCCTCCCGGAGTCTCACCCACGTGCCTGACGTCTCTCCGTCTCTCCAGGTCCATCACGTGTCTCCTCCAAGTACCTCTTCACTCCTCCCCCCTTCGAATAGCCACCTTGCTCCTTCCCGGCCGCCCCACTCAGGCGGCTAGCGCATGGCACTCGCAGTCCAGGCGCCTGGGGTGAGTCAGGGTGGGGAGAAGGGCACCCACTGTCTGCGGCTCCACTTTCATGGAGATGCGCACAGCTGAGCCTAACGACACTGCTCTGTGCCATGCGCCAGGCACAGCCCATCACAGGGCTGCGGGTCCAGAGCCGGCGCGAGCCGGCGGCCAGGCAAGTCGAGAGACAGCACTCCGCCAGGAGCGGGCGAGGCCGCGGGAGGGGGCTGCGCACTGGGCACAAGTTTTCTTTTGCAATGAGGAACTAGCGAAGGGCGGGGCTGTACAAGACTGGGAATGCACTAAATGCCACTAAACTGCACGCTTTTAAAGTGGTTAATTTTACGTTATGTAAATCTCACCGCAATTGGAAAAAAAAATAAAGCAAGACACAGAAGAATGTAAGCACTAGGTTTTTGTAGTTTTCTTTCTGCATGTGCGCAGTTTAGCATCTCTTCTCTCTATCCACTGTCATCCCAGCTTGCCCCTCCCATCTCCCATACTCCTTGACCCCTCTCCCTTCTACCCTCAGACACCTCAACATTGGTTCTCCACACGGGCTAGTTGCTGAGCATGGTTCTATACCTCTCGGCTTTCAAATCACAACAGGAAACAGCATTCGGGGATGTAAACACGCTCTTCAACAAAGGGCTAACGGGAAAGGCCAGCAGCTACCGCTCCAGAAGGACAGAGCAGAGGCAGCGCCCGGTGGCCAGCCTGAAGGGTGCAGGCGCGTGCTCTGGCCTGGCGGCAAAGAGGGAAGGCGTGCCCAGCCGAACCTCACGTGCCATCTTTTGTGCCTGCTTAACACTTAATGAGAAAAAAAACTAAAGCTGGCTGTGCCCGTCCCCCCACCCCCACAGGGCAAGCCAGCTTTGCAACAATGGAATGGCACAAGGGAGCTGTGCAGTAACCGCGATGGGCAAAGCTTTACCTCCCTAACAGTCCAGAAGCCATACAAGAGGAAAAGCCTTCCTCCCCGGGAGAAGGAGCCCTCTCCATGCAGACACACCAGAAACAAAGTCCTGCGAATCCCTGCTCACAACTCCTCCCACCAGTGGGGAGCTAACATGGTACTACCGAGCGCTTCTCAAGTCAGGAGGAAGAGGCCAAAGACGCAGCAGGAAGTAGGGTCCAGGGTTAGAAGACACTTCAGGTGAGCCAAATTAAAACAAAAAACGGTTTACTCAGGGAAAAGATGTCCTACCTCCTTGAATGAAAAAGGCCGTTTTGGACCTACGAGCCGCAGAAGCCCCACAGGAAGGTGATGTTTCTGAGGGCAGGGCTTGGGGGCCATGTGCTCCCGCCCTAGCAGGCCAGGTGTGACCTGGCACGTCTGTGCTGGGGGACTCTTGGGCCCAAAACACCCTCCCACTTCGGGGAGCCGATTTAACATCCTTGCTTGGTGCAAAGGGCAAAAACCAAGGCTATCTGCTGTGGGCTGTTGCAAGAGCAAAGCTTGGAAAAGAGCCAAGGCCCGTCATTGGGACTGTGGTCAGATAAAGAAAGGGCCAGCCATCAAACAGAACACAATGGAAAAAGAATGAGGAAGCCTCTCTGTGCAGAAGTGGAAAGTTCTCAAAGACACAGGAAGTGAAAGAGCAAAGTGCAGAACAGCATGTATTCTGCACTCTCTTTGGTCAAAAAAAAAAAAAAAAAAAGATGGGGAAATATGTCCGACTGGAGGTCGGTTCACAAGAAACTGGAGGCCTGAGGCAGACTGGGCGAGCCAGGGTCAGGCCGAGAGGGCGGACAAACCACCCTTCGCCCTGCTCAGCGCCCAGCCGAGCGCAGTCCCGGCCAGCCAGCCCTGGCTTCCCGTGCGGGTCCGTGGCCTGTGGATGTGCAGAGGCACACCCGCGCCTCGGACCTCAGATCCACTCCACCGCCCGCGTGGCCCACTCCAGTGACTGCTTGTCTCCAGCTAGCCACTCAGACACTACCTGTCCTGAGCTTCCTGCACTCAGCATGCTTTTGTTTTCATTTCTGCTTTGTGTCCTCATTTTTGAACCACATAAAATTAAAATTTGCAAAAGAAAATAGATTACTGAATGCAGTGCTCCGCAGACTGCAAGGTGCTCTGACTCGCAGCGCTCATCAGTGGGGACGGCAGCACCCCTCTTCTGGGGACAGAGGGGGGCAGGACTACCAGCGCCCTTAGGGATATGGGCTCCAGGCCAGAGTCCTGTTCTGTCACCTCCTGACAGAGGACCTTGGCTAATGGCATTACCTGCTGCAGCGAGGGGCTCCATGTGTAAACTAGCACCCCGCTGGCAGGGTTGTGCTGAGGTGTCAAGGCGCTCAGGCCCTGCCTCACACTCACAAGTGCTGGGTTTGGTGACTGGGGCTGGCCAGACGCCCTTGGCTGCGTGCAGGCCCGTGGCAGGCGAGGAGGGAGCCGGCACACTGTGGCCCAGGAAATAGACCCCCAAAAGGGGCTGTAAAGACTCCTGATGCAGCAACAGGCCTGCCAGACACCCAAGCATGACCAGCACACGGGAGTGGGGCGCCGTGGGCCCTGGGTGGCTTGGAGCAGCTGATGAGGTCAGGGGAAGAAGTGAGCAGGGGGAGACTGGAGGGTCTCAATGCGGAGTTAAGATCCTTTAGACTCCAGGGGCAGGTAGCTGATTACAGAGGTTCTCAGCTTTGGCCCTCCTGATGTCTCAGGGTGCTTAGCAGCACCGTGACCTATACATACTAGTTGTCAGTACCACATCCCCTAGGTCCCCAGACCTTGGTAGCTGTCCCCTTAAGACAGTGCCCCCCCCCCCCAATTGAGAGCTGCTGGTGTACTATACTAGGGAGGCCCAAGGAGGTCCAGAGGCGGCTTTGGCTGCAGAGCAGATAAGTAGCTGTTAGAAACTAGAACCCTCTAGAAACAGCCTCCAGTGCCCAGGACTAGGCAGAAGCCTGCAGCAAGGGCGGGGGGAGCCCTTAGCCCTTGAACTTTATAGCATCCTGCATTCTTTACTTCATATCCCTGTGGACACACTCACCAAAGGTCAACGGCTAAATGACCAGCAACTTCCCCAGGTTAGAGACCTCAGCAGCTAGGCAGTCTCCCGACTCCCTGCCGACCACCCCACCAGATGCCTGTACCGCCTCGGAATTCTGTCAGGAAGCTGCCGACCTCTACTCTGATCTCCCTCACTTCTCACAACTGCCCAGCTGCAACTCAGCGAGGTCAGGTTCTGGGCCCAGGCCCCTGAGAACCAGTCGGGACAGAACCAGGGTAGAAACAGCCTCTGAAGGCCCTGCTTCCCTTTATTCCCAGTGAAAGCGCCTGAGCAGGGCAGAGGTGGAGGTCCAGGACAGACTCGTGTAGATAACCTGGGTTCTCGCATGGGACTCTGGAGCAGACACATGGACACCAGCTCCTGGCTGAACTGGAGGGTGGGGCCCCTCCCCGAGGCCTGGAATTGACCCTCCCCCACAACTAGCTTCATGTCCTGTTTCTCGCTGAGAGCCCGGAGAACCAGCAGCAAAGGGTCTGGAGGATGCCCAGAAAGCACAGACCGGCCCCCTCAGAGCTGTGCAGCCAGAGCCCTGCCCTGCTCTCCTGACCACCCTCTACGACAAAGAAAGCAGAGGAGACCAGAGAAGAGCTGCGGGCCTGCAGCCACATCAGGGATGAGCCTGCCCCCAGCAATCCTGGAAAGCAGGGCCTAAAAGGCCGCCCACAGCCCACCTGCAGAGGCCATCTGGAGTCAGGCCCTGGCACGGCACAGGCGACAACAATGTGGCCAGAACTTTGAACAAAGACAGCCACGAGGCCAGCTGGAGAGGCCTACGATCAGCACCAGCCCCGTACCAGCAAGACAGGGCTCGGAGGGAGTTGGCAGGATAGCAGTCAGGACAGGGCCGCGATGAAGCTGGACACTCAGGCCCAAGAGGACCAGCTCCTTGACAAGAGCAATCCCGGCTGGGGTCCAGCATATACCACCATCTTACTTCCTACCACTTAGGGACCTTGTGACCCCATTTTGCAGATGGGGAAGCCAGGAACCATCATCACGCACTCAAGGGCACACGGCTGGTAAAACCAGCACCCAATACTTTTCCAGAACTTACTCTGGAATCTGCAGAGAGAAGTAAGTCTGGGCCTAGTTTTTAGCAATGAGGTAACTACAGGATAAACAGACATCCTGCCTCCAGGGAGGGCTATACAGGACACTGGTTTTCCAAGTGACCTTGGGCCATCTTACCCCTCCCTGGGTCTCAGTTTCCCTTCTGCAAAAGACCCTGAACCTGGGGTTGTCCACAGCAGGTGTGCCTATGTCCAGAGCTGCCTCTCCTTGCCAATGTCCTTGACATTGGGCTTTATTCCCAAGCCCAAGAATCTCCATACAGGGGGTCCTTTAGACCCACCCCAACTCCACAGACACTAAGGATATTAACGGGCACCCCATTTCACAGGTAAGCACACTAAGGTTCAGAGAGAGTGACTAATCAAGAAGACTGGGGACCTTCCCCTAAGCCCGATCTTCAATCTTCTTCCATTCTGACCTGAGACCATGTCACATGCCTCCTCCGGGGACAGGCCCCTGCCGCTCTGTCCATCAGGGAGGCCTCCACTGAGCTCCCACTGTGGGCAAGCCATACAGGATGCTGGGGAGAGCAGGTGACCACAACTCAACACTAGCCGAAGTGGAGAAGTCACAGGGAAAAGCCCAGAGGCAACACTGCATTGCTCTGAGAATTGGGGTGCCTCCCGCAGAAGGGGACCTCCCTAGCGCTTGCCGATCACTGCCCGTCTAGCTGGCACTCTGCAGTTTACACACTGCTTCCCCTTGTTCCAGCTCACCTGCGCCTCCAGCAGCCCTCCCAGGCCAGGCAGCACCATCACAGTCCTGGCAGATGGGGACAACGAGGCACAGGGCAACCATGTGACGGTCCCGCAGGCCCCGTCAGGTCTGGGACCCAGTCTGTCTGCCCTCTATGCTCACGCACGCAGAGTACAAAGGTCCCCTTTTCTAGTCTCCAGAGAAACCTTGGGCAGCCGCATCTCAGCTGCTTGATGGTAAACACATGCCTGGCCCCCAGCCTGCTCAGAGATGTGGTACTGCTCCCTGTCCCCTCGGACGGGCAGAGGAAGAATTCATCCCCCAGAAGGCAGGGACCCCCAGTTCGGAAGCACAGCTCTGCCCAGGGCAGCGGTCTATCTTCCTTCCCTGTGGAGGGATGCAGAGGCACAGCCACCTCCAGGGACCCTGGGACAGGGATGAGGATGGGCCTCAGACTGGCCACCTCGCTCTCACCACCCCCTTCCCCATTACCCACAACTGCCAAGGAAGGGCCATGCGTCTTAGGCAAACGAGAAAGCAGGAGGCAAGTGCCTCATTTCTCCAGGACCGAGGACAGGGCTGAGGAGTCAGCAACTTGTAGAAAATGACAACATCAGAGCAAACTCAACTTCCCACAGGAAGCATATCCGGAGAGCAAGAGAGGAGAGAGGTCCTAAAAGCACAGACACCCCCCCCACCGCCCCCTGGGGCTAGGGGAGCCTGCGTCAGTCATCTGAGGCCTGCCTGGGCAGAGTGCCAAGAGGCCGGGCCGTAGGGAGGGCTGGGCGTTAAGGGGAACCCAGGCCTGTCTATAGCACCCTGCTCCCAGGAAGCACGAGAGGGGTGCTTGGGCTTTCCCACACACAGCTGGGGACTCAGGCCATCTGCAGCTGGAGGTCAGAGCTCAAAATACCCTCCTCTGCCCAGCCTGGGTCAGTGGGAACCCCACCCTGCCCCAACTACTAAGGAGCCCCTCCACCGGCTCACCCCAACCTGCTGCTTCCTGCCTCACTTGGAAAGGTCCTGGGGACAGAGTGACCAACATGTGTCATCTGAGCCCTGAGCCTGAAATACTGGCATCTTTTCTCTCTTGGCCCCTGGGCTGTCCCAGGGGCTCAGAATCCACAGGGCTAAAAACAGGAGGACTTACCCAGGTAGATGTCGCCAAAGGAGCCACTCCCGATCTTCCGTCCCAGGCGGTACTTATTCCCCACACGCAGCTCCATGATTCACTCTCGCTGCAGAGAGAAACATGGGTCAGAGAAAGAGCTGGGCAGAGGGGCAGTCTCCTCTAAAAGCCAGACGGGTCCAGGAGGAACATGGAACAACAACATGCTCCATCAGTCCAGGAAGACACGGGGCCTCCCTCTGCCCAAGGGCAAGCGGGTGCCAGGTAGCAAGGCAGGTAGCCAATAGCCTCCACCACTGAGGAGTAACTGAGGGCAGCTCAGAACAGGTTTCCACACAGCCAGAGAAAAGGTGGACCTGGTGAAGGGGTCTGGACAGAAACTGTCAAGCAGCACCTCCTTGAGGGCCACTCATCTGGAGGCGCCTCCATAGCAGACTCTCAAGGGGCAGGCCAATCACAAATGGCCCAGACCCTGAGGAAAATCAAGGACAAAGGGAGTGAAGGGAAGGACAGGAGGGTGCAGGAGCTGCTGTCCTGGGGGTGCTACCATGGCAACCACTAGCAAGCTCCATTTCCAGGGATGACAAGTTGACCAGAGAGTCCCAAGAAGCTCCTCCTTTAGGCCTAAAAAGTGACAGGGCGCCCCTGCCCCAGGCTTCTGTCACCAAGAAGTGGAGGCCAAACTGCCCAGTCTGCAGTCTGCCTGGCAGGAGGGCTCCTTCCTGGGGAGGGGCCTGCGCCACCCACCTGCCAGTGCCTCCCTCTCCGCCTCACCGAACCCAGGCCTGCACACGGGCCTGTGCACCTGCTCCTCTGGATGGACCGCTGGGGTGCGCTTCCTTCAAGACCAGAGCACAGGTCTCCTATGAAGCCCTGAGGGGCCACCCGGGGCACCAGGGCCCAGTCAGGTCTGTGGCTGCTGGTTTAGGGGTGGAAGGGGAGATTTGGGGGCAGCTACCAGCTTGAGCAGCTCTCCTTCCTGTGACGCTTCTGGTTGACAAATCCACAGGCCATCAAGGGCCACCTCTGCTCTGGCCTGGGCTTGCCACACCAGAGATTCAAAGGGTAAGAGGCGTTTCTGCTGCTCAGGGGTCAAGGGAAGTGGACTATGAAACAGGGAGAGGGATGGGGAACCCTAAGATCTTGGAGTGTCTACAGGAGGGCCAAGATAAAAAACTAACAAGAGGGGCCTGCGTTTGCAGAAGGGGCAGAAGGCCTGAGCTCAGGCCACCTGCCCAGGCTCCCAGCGGCAGTCTCACCTGGGCCCCACCTGGCTGCCTCCCTCCCCAGCAGGGTGATTTCATGCCAGGGCTGGGAGACAAACAGGAAGATGGGCCCACAGCTGTGCTGGGCAACAAGGCTCTGCCCCTTCCCACTGCCAAGTGCTAGTTCCCACCGAGACCTGGGCGCAGGGGCAGGGGGGAGGTTCATTCCCCCCAACTCAGGTTGGGGGCTCCCTCTGCCCCGGCTGAGGCAGGAACCCACAGCTCTGCCCAGTCAAGACTCGGGCCCAGCATCTCTCTCCCACGAGGCGAGGCGTCGCCCCCACCGGCCATCCAACTCGCGGCCCTGACCCGAGGGCCTTGCCCACAGAGGGCCAGCCCAGCCCAGCCCAGCCCAGCCCAGCCCAGCCCAGCCCAGCCGCCCGCGGCCACCCTGCACATCTGCAGGAAGGCGGCGCACACCTCAGCCAGGCCCTCAGCTCCCCGGCTCCCACAGGAAGAAAGGCGCGCACGGGCACAGGCCGAGGGGGGTGGGGGGGCGGTGTGTACACACAAACACACCCCGGCCTTCCGGGGGATCACACAGGGCAGCAGGGAGCCCAGGTCAGGAGGGCGTACGCACTCGGCACCCCACATTACATAAATGCCCACGCCGCTTACATAAATACCTGCCGCTCGGCCTCCCCAAACACGGGACCCCCGCCCCCGCCGGCCGCGGCCGCCGCCCCCTTCCACCCTGGGGTGGCCCCGGGGGGCGTCGGCGGCCCCAGCCCCATCTGGGGCAGGAAAGGGGCTGGGGAAAGGCTTTCCGCTCTGCGCTCCAGGGCTTGGAATAAATGAAGTTGTTTTTGTTTTTTTGGAAGGGGCGACGCGAAGCTCCAGGAGTTTCAGCAGAGGGGACAAGTGGCCAGCGCCTCCGGCCGGGCAGTTTCCTCACTCGGCCCCCG